TTGACATAAACAGTATTTTTTTTTTAAATCGTCTAAATTAGTTGTTCATTTTAATTACAACTACTTCTAGCCAGTATACCTCCTATTACTTTATAATCAGTAAATTGAATAATATAAATTTGTAAAATGACGATCAAATTTACGGACATATTATACAGTTGAACTATTTGATAATCGCTTTAAATATAAAAAAATCTATTTTATATTATTTAATTTTTAAGAAAAAAATATTAAGTAAACTTTACTCTCTCCCATTCTCCAATAACCTAAATTACCTAACAAGAATTATTGAGGAAATATAACTAGTCTAAAGGGCGGTCACAAAACCTGCATTGCTTTCACAGCTCTATTTGTTTCGTAAACTATCCTACTTCTAATAGCGACGACATAGTTGATAGCAGTGCACACCCACCCGCGGCCGCCGGCTACAGGTTACATGTCAATAGCTAACAGCGGCTGTACAAGCATCAAAAGCTTCCGCCCTACAATTGGGTTGAATTGCGTAAAATGAGCGGTGCTTGCAAGTACTCCAGTTGGGCATGAAATAAACACTATGTATCAACCGTTGTGAAATTAGCCGATACAGAAAGTACTTGAGGCCTAGACAATGTTATAATCAAAATCGCTTTTCAAGCAGAACGTTTTATGATTCAACTACTGTCACTGTGTACTACCGAAGTTTGGTTTTTATCATTAATTGAATGATTATTATTGGAATAACATATATAAGAATGATATTAACGTATGAATTGTGTGTAATGAATTAAATAATTTGTTTTTATCGAAGCGAAAAGACACGAGTCAGTAAACCGGAATGTTACATAGACCTAAACACTTAGTGTTATTGTTTAATTTTTTTAATATTTTCTTTAACACAACCATATTATATAATATACGACGTATACCTTTCAATGTAATATGTGAAGGTTATCGAGGTCCAATTACAAAGGTAACATAACCGCCAACACTGATAGGACTGTAGCATAATGCCCTTGTGTACAACCCGTCCTTGTGACATTTAATAGGAATATAGGTAATTACGACAAATAGAGCAGTAGAACAGTCCATATTATTTATATAAAAACAACGAACGGCATTGACATTTAAACATAAGTGAATAATATGACCGATTTCACGTCATACTGCCGGCAAACGAGGTAGTGTTGTAAAGTATTGGAAATAAATCAATTCCTACATCTTCCGTTCACTTAGGTTAGTGTATTAGCTTTAGCGTCCTTGTCTGACAGCTCGTCCCTTCGAAATCATTTGTATCAGAACCATATAAAGCTGTATTCGCTTTTTGCTGTTACGAACTAAGCATAGGGTCGCAAAGTAAGTAAACTATTGTCCGTAATAGCTATTAGCACCAGTGATTAGCGCGAGATGGAATTGTAACAATAACACTAAGTGACCTTGACCTCGTTTTCTGATTTGCACGCATACCATATCGAATCTTAAATTGTTTATAGACATGACAAAAATACTTGCACATTAATTTACGTCCTGTTTTAGGGAAATTATCTTTATATTATGTCAGCTTGTCTTTATTTAACAATTAATAGCAATAACAATTGCGATGATATTAGAAATAAAAATAAGAAGTTAAGTTTCCGATTAACACTAAAACTTAACTTATAACTAAAATAGTTATCAGATTCTGATTAATAGCTAGTAGCTGTGACAACGGTTTCAGGTTAATTTGGCATATATATTATTACACTTTTCATACTACTTATTAAAACTCTGTTCATTTTTGTTTTCTTTTATAAAGACACAGAACACGTATTATTCAATTAGGTGCAGTTATTAGGAAATTCTGACATACATTTCGGAGATAATTTTTTATATAGTTAAATATTAATTATATTTTCAATTGGTATTTTAAGAAATAAATCTATACGAAGAATTAGTCTTGCTTTTGAAAGGAAATCAAGGTAATTATTGTAGCTCGAAATGGTTTCATAAGATGCCGACAGGTTAGGTTAGGTATGAAAACCTATTTAAGCAAATACTAACGTGCTCGGTAATTTGAGTGAACTATGTGTCCAAGCAAATCAAACATAATTATTACATTCAGCAAGGCATGAATATTATGTACCTCGATTACTATTTTGTTTTGTAGATGACTTTATAGAGTGACGTTCGACACATTTCATCGAGTGTAGAATTTACACACTTCAGTCTTGTGAAGTATTTTGTTTTCTAAAAATGGCGTAATACCGACTTCACTAAAACTAAACCTCATTGTAAATTCTATAAATCTATTCCTTGCACTAGTACAAGCACTTTTCGTAAATATTATATTAATCGATTGTCCGATTACTTGACTGCATATAAAAACATTAAAACATACACTTGAGGAAGTGAATGTGACCGTGATTTTCGTATTTCTCAAACTCTGTATACGGTTTATTTTAAACAATACGGAATAAATGACCACGTTTATTAAAGCAATTATAAAGTAATAAACGTATTTAGAATAATTTATCTAGATATTCTAGTGGAAAGCGTTAAGATTCGCGTGGCATGCATCCGAGATTTCACGCTGCACGTCAATTCATTGTTCATATATTGTTAAAAGAAACGAAGTATATTTTAGTTCTCTGATTTTATAAGCATTTTCATATCTTATTTTTGCTTATTCAATTTTATTGTTCATGAAAAAGGTATGAATAAAATCTATTGTAACCAAGTAGTGCAGTGCCTATTAAATACAAGTAGAAGTCCTTGAATGTTTAAATAAAACCATACGATATTGAAAGTTTCGCTTTTCTCATTCAGTTTTAGATAAAATTATATACGTATTGAAATTTACATTATCCCTTCGATTATAATATTAACCTATATAACTGCATTGATGTAGAGAGTTTTACATATTATTATGGGAACAACGGCGCCGGATCTTTAAAAAAAAATAGTGTACATTTAATGATCACTGACCCTCTATAAATTCGCCGGTGGTGTTTGCGTCAACCAATTCAAAAGAAATGTAGTAGTTGTTGTACTTGACAGGTTTATTCATAAAAAAAATTAAGTGGACTGCATCGAATGTAACGAGTTACTAGTCTACAATTATTTCGATGTAAAAATCACGGCTTTGCTTTGTTAATTGTATTATTTGCTTTGCTATATGTGGATATTAGAAATTGGTTATTTAATAGGATATATTGGTTAATTTGTTCTGCCAAATTGTCCAATTTTATTTGGAATATTTCTTATTGCCAAAGAAAAATCTTAACAAGGGAAATTAGAGAAACTTTTTTACCTAATTCTAATTTACTACAATCCACCCGATTAATAAAATGGATTAAAAAAACCCAATTGATTATACAATAGAAAACATTTACACTTTATAAGCAAGTCATCATCGTCAGAGCTTGACGAATAAAGAAAAATTTTAGACCGGAAGAGCCCTAGCTTTAATGATATCTGTTACTTGTAGTTTATAGTATGTACTCCTAATATTATTAACGGGGAAATATTATGATCCAGGGCAAAATTAACACGTATCTGTGAAACATATCTATACCTAAGAATGAGGGTCACAAAAATTATACATATTACAAATTGGCATCTAAGTAGATTGGCGACAAAACATTTGTTAAGTTACTTATGTTATCAATATTCAAAACACAATTCGTTACATTTATGCAAAATCAACAATTGTAATATTTCACAAAATATTGCTTATTAATTCAAAATTACATGGGTGAAATTTTAATTTGCTAATTCATTAATATCAGACGTTTTAGTTTCAGTTTAAAACATGATGTAAACGCCCTTTAATTTTGTTTACCTGCCTCCAAAAACCTTTTTTAAAATCGTTGTTTTTTATTTTTGCCCAGTTTAAATTACCTGTTCCTGACTGAGGATCGTGATGAGATAGTAAAGTTCCGTTGCGGTAGACGCGGAGGGTTTGACGTAACGGGAGTATGCGCGGGCGTTGAAGCAGGAAGCGAGGTCCGCGGCAGGCGGGTACCCGCTGCCACACCACTCGCTGCCAAAACGACCACCAGCCACCACCGGGACATCACGGTACGAACGCAACACAACCTATAGCCACGCAACTCGGTAACCGACTCGCGCCTCAAGCGTTCACAGCCACCTTCACTTTAGTTGTACCTTGCTCCACAACAGCTCCACGACCCCCACTACGATGAAAGTGAGGGCTTCCAAGCACTCTATGCCGCTATAACACTGTCCCTAGTGTCAATGTTTGTTCACAGATTTATCGCAGCGGATTATTACAAAAACATGTATGATTTCTTCGACAGTTTACGATCGACTCAATTTATTTGGTTATGATAATAATCTTTTTGAAATTGTATACAAACAGGTTTTATTGACCCGATACTTCGCAAGCTTCATTAATTTCAACATAAAATTACAATAAACAAAAGACGGACTGTGCTAATAACTTTAATATTGTTTAAAAAATCTTTTGATTTCAGTGTACACGAAGTTACAATTGTTTTGGAGTAGGTTTTTACGCCGTTTTTAAATATTTAAAAATCAATTTTTACTCTGGTCGCACAATCACTTAAACTAATAATTTTGCATCTCATTGCCCGACTAGTAAACGTCGGGTAAATAACAATTATTTATCTGTTGCACTTTTGATAAATGAATTTTATTATATCAAAGTTATTTCTTAATTTATGCCTCAAAATAATGCAATTGATAAGATTCCTCATATTGAGATGTTTTGATTGAGCAGTTAAGTTACTATAGTCTTAATGGATGACTTTCGAGAAAGATCAAATTCGAGAACTTTTCGTGAAACTTATTGTAAAGCGAACAAACTCATTTATAACTAAAACATACTCTTAGGATACATATTATTTTGAATGTTATAATAACACTTTTATACCATAATGAAATGAAAAAATATTATATATTACAATTATTTTTATTACTAAAATAAATTTGCTTATTATTATCATTTTCATTGATTTACAGGAACCTTAAAGTTCAATTAAAAATAAATGGAAAAAAGAAAGTTACATTTTTGGACAAGGCGTCTTGCGTAGATATTGTTTTCCGGATGGAACTTGCACAACCTTTACTTGGGGGAAGGATTTCTTCAGGTCTTCGTCTGACACCGTTGGAAGCACCATACAATCATCACCCATCTGTCAGAGAAAATTTTATTTATAACGTAGATAGAGTATAGAACTAGATGAGCTTCTAAAATAACTATAATAACTAAAGGGAGAAGGCATTAACCTAAAATACTTAAGAGCGAGCGAAACAGAGTATCAGTTTTTCTGTCTCTTTCGATTTGCGTATCGGGTTTTATTTGTTTACCACCGAGCCCTTGGTGGTAAACAAGTTTTCACCGCTTACTGATAAATCTGTGAAACTCAAGTCAAACCCATATTTTAAGACTTTGTCCTTATAAGAGGTGTATTTAAAGTGTCAGTCATGGTGAATTGTTGCATAATTGGCTGTAAAAGCTATAGTGAACGTAAAGAACCAAACATAACCTTTCTTCGGTAAGTAGCTTATTTTGTTACAACTCAGTAACTTTGTTCAAGAATTATTCATTCGAATGTGTATTTTGGTCAATAATAAGCAATCTTCAATGAATTAAAACTGTAAATACGACAATGCCAAACATATTTTTCAGTGCTAACCGACTAAATTGCGAATCATGTTACCTACGTCAGGTAGTTGCCACACTTCGTAGTTCGTGTCCTTTGTAAATAGTTGGGTTATAACTCGTTGGGGCTACCAGCACTTGAATAAATTTTCCACTTTTTTCAGTTTTCCGAATGAACCGTATTTAAATAATAAATGGACTGAGTGTACGGATAGATTAAACTGGCATCCAACTTAAAGTTTTGTTTTTGTTTTTATGATATGTATGTTTATGGTGTGCAAATAAAGACTATTATCTATCTATAAGGCCGTAATTTGTTCCGTTAAATTTTACCACTATGTTATGTTTGTCTTTTTTGCAAATCTGGAATGTTGTTAACAAATTAATAACATCTTTCAGCATGACGATACATGACAGAATATGACCGCTTACTAACCTTACCATCAGAAGAAGTTGCTATGGAAATAGAAATAGAGTAAAAATATATCCCAAAGCTTATTAAAGTAGTTACTTTTACAGTACGAGTAGGTAGGTACTTTAAAATTATGTTTTTTCTTATGCGGATGTACTTATTTCAGACGCGAGAAACAGTATCTTTCTAATACAAAAACGACGTCTGTGTACACAGACTTCCTATAATGGAAGTCTGTGGTGTATTAGGTAGAACAGTTACTACGCAGCGGTTGTATAGAGTGTTCGTATGTGGTTTAATTTAACGTAACTGATTAATATGCGTGTGGAGTGAGTGAACACCCCCTAAAAGATTTTTTTTTGTGGGGTATTTCTTATGGCAAAAATTACCTCACAACATAAGGAAATTTTTTCTCATGGCAATATTAGTGGCATATAGATATACATTATGAAGTTATGTCGATCATTCGCTATCTCACACGCTGTTCGCTGACGCCTGGTCTATACCATAGTCCGTCTACGATTTATAACAAGTTTTGGGTCTTCGCCAATGACATCGTAGTTGACATGAAGTCAAAAAAAGGAAAGACATTTTTTAGTTATTTTCTATAAAAGTGCACGAAATGTGATTTTATAAAAACAAATACGTATTTGCTATTATTGAACAAAATCTAATGACGATATTTATTTTATTTTAATGGGGAAAGTTCATAATTTTATAACCCAGGAATGTTTTGTTGGAAATTTGTTTGGTTTATTGGAGAATTCGTGTAAATCCGGCTTAGGCTTCTTTTTATTGCAATTTTTTTGCATAAGGAAGTCTAAGGCTCAATTCACACTGGCACACAGTTGAGGTGACACGACGCGTCATCTTTTTCACCTATAGCATATTCATATCTATTTTTACATTATTAAGGTACAAATTTGTATTATGGAAATACGTAAGCGCGTCGTCGCTTGTCTGGAGGAGCGCGTTACTCGGGTGCCGTGACCCACTTTCTTGCTCTCAGCTTCTGATAATAGTACGATCATATTAAGATCAATATCAAACATTGTATACGGCTGAGCGGTTCACTAATGCATACAAGTCTTTCAACTGGTTCCAGCCTTTTGAGTAGAGTACGCCCTGAGAAAATGGCGCGTAGCGTCGCTTCGACTCTGAGCCAATGTGAGTAAAACCTATGCGACTCTCAGACTAAGTTGCTCTTTGACTTCCAATAGAAATCTCGACTGCGATCCCAACGTTTGCGATTTTAATAAAATTCTTTCAATATCCTTAGAGCTGTTGTCGAAACCTTGGGATCTATAGCTATAAAAATATTCAGCATCATTAGGATCGTTGGCGCTGTCAAGTTCTGTCATATTTGAAAAACAAATTATGTAAACTTTCATTTATATATTGTATTAAATATAAAATTCTCGTGTGACAATGTTCGTTCTCTACTCCTCCGAAACGGCTTGACCGATTCTTATGAAATTTTTTATGCATATTCAGTAAGTCTGAGACTCACGTCGTGATAATGTCACTGTAGAATGATAACCTCGTATGTCCAGAGAACCAAACATTACAGGAAACGAAAAAACTAAAAAATCAGACTTACTATTATATATATATATATATATATAATAGTAAGTCTATACTATTATATATATATATAATAGACTTAAAGTTTATTTTTATTTTTTAGACAATTTTTTTTTGTTTTAATTTTTTTATGATACAGCATACAAACATGACATACAACCCCTAATTTTTTATTATAGTAGATAGTTATTTTTATTGAACTAAATTTTTTTTCCTAGAAATAAGGGAGCATTCAAGTATTACGAAACGAATTTTGGGATTTTGGTAGTAACGGTGCGTTACATGGGGGGGGGGTTCAATAATCTCCAAAAACTGCGTGACGTTAATGATATAGCTAAAAAAAAAAGTACAAAGTAGTATCAGTACCAAGTATCACACTAGAAATATATTATTATAATAGCTCAACTAATTTTATATGATCATCGAGTATTGTAGAATTTTAAATCTGCCCTTTTTTGGACTATTAAACATCAATAAAGTTTTAAGTTTTCAGATTGCTATTCAATATCTAAATCAGAAATAAATAAATGTTTGATTGTGTTTTTCTATTTTTAATATGAATTTATTGCATCCCAGAGAAAAATATACATTGAAGACAAGAGCAAGCACCCCTACACTTCAAATTAAAAGTATTAAATGTTGTGTTTAAATTTTATACTATTACTCACCTTCCAGTCAACGGGGGTGGCTACTCGATGCTTGTCAGTCAGCTGCAGAGAGTCTATCACGCGAAGAATTTCACTGTAAATTTAAAAATCATTAGTACCTGTAATTTTTCCCATTATCATTAAGAATACTTTTAAAACATTTTTCCTTGTGCTGTCATATAAAAGAACATTTTGTAATTGAAGCAGGTTTACTTAGTAAGGTTAGACCAAACTGTATTGCAATTAATTAAATGAACAATAAATATTTAAAACAAATACATGAGTTGTTATTTAATTCTTTACCTACTAACCTGTATAATCAAGTAGTACATTTTGTTTGCTTTAAATTGTGTTGAGTTATGTTTGTAACATTTTAGACATATTTGTAACTTAACTTTTGTTATTCTTGAATTAAATTTAATTACTCGATTGAAAAAATATGCCTTCCTGGATTTTGTTAGATAATTTTATATGCTGAACACAGAAATAAATTCTTACTCAAAATTTCTTCCAGTGGTAGCAGGATAGAGAATAGACAGCCTGTATTTCTTTTGCGGATCTATGATGAATACAGCTCTAGCACTTAAGGGCATTCCTTTAGAATCCATCTCATCTTTATCTAACATGTTCAATGTTTTGGCAATTATACGATCCTCGTCTTCAATAATTGGATATGGAAATGATTCATCTAGTGTGCAGCCTGAAAACAGCAATTACTACAAAATTTTGTTGTAAATCTAAAGTTTATGACAAAGTTATCTTGTAAGAAATAGCCATCACATTATGTTAGCTACCCCAACAAGTATAAGGAGGCGTAAGAAACTAAACAAGATGAATTTATTAACAATACAAATTCTTGTTAATGACATTGCAATGTTAACTAATGTTACACAATATCTTGAAATACTATAACTGGATGAACTGTAAACATGATGTGTTAAAAAAAAATGTTTTTATTGAGATACTTTTAAATTCTGTACTGAAAATTTTCAGTTACTTGAATCAGTGTAATCATTCTATCAACAAAATGTTGGCTTATGAGAATGGCTTTATTTAAGATTGCAATATTCTAATATGCAATGCTAGATATTTGGTATTGAATACCTGCATAACTTCTGATGTCCCTGCACCACAAGAAATGTGATGTAAGAGAATCACAAGATATTCCAATGACTTTCACATTGCGCTTTTTAAACTCTGGCATTAGCTTGACAACACGAGCCAGCTCTGTTGTGCAGACAGGTGTAAAGTCCGAAGGATGAGAAAACAGGATAGCCCATCTTAAAACAGAAGAATCTTCATGAATCACAACTAAATACCTTGTTAGAAAAGCTAACAATAAACCACAAATGAAACCTCTTTAGACACAGAAATATGATACCATGTGTCTTAAGAGTTTCTCGTTTGTTATAAAATTGCATAAAATAATATATATTCTCTTAAATCAATGAATATATGGTATGGCCATTTGTATTTGATAGTGTGAACTTACGACTGTCCTATCCAATCGTGGAAATCAATCTTTCCTGCAGTGGTATTTGCTGTGAAGTTTGGAAATTCGTCCCCTAAATACATTTTTATGGTTGTTGTTTTAAAATTTAGTAGGTATGGATACTCTAAAAGAATGAGTTAAAGTTAACTTTGTATTTTACCAAAACTAGAATTTTTTTAATAGTACCAATGATACCAAGAAGTATTACGTTTCCTCCAGCATTCATTTGTTTAAAAAAGATAATATCGTACAAAAATTGCAATGAGTTTTAACTGTTTTCTAGCTATCCATTGTGTAATCACTTTAATTTGGTAACAAAACAAAACAAAATTTTTGCTGCTTTTCTGGCTTTGAAATTTGTTTCCAGTTTCCAGTTTCCACTTCCAATTTCTAGTTTCCACTTTCCACATTAACTTTGTTACCACAGATTACGGTATAAATATACAGAAATGGTTATGCTTAAGGTAAAAGGTAGGTGAAGACAAAGTACCTATGAAATCTGTCAATATAATACAAATTTTCAATTAAAAACCGTAAACGGATGACGAATTACAAAGACTCTGTAATATATAAAAAGGGTGCGTGTACTAAGTACTTATGTACGCGCGTAAGAAGTTTTACTTCTTTGGCATTATTAAAAATAGTTTTTGATTGCATGCAAATAATTAATTACAATTAAATAATCAAAGACTGAAAAAGGAGTCATTATAGTCAATAGTTCAGTTTACATTTGAAAAATTAAATAAATAAATATTTATTATTATTCTCTTACATTAAGTGTAACATAAATACTATTATTATTCAAAGTTGTTTTTAAATTATGTCCAATGCCGTAGCATCTTCCGTGGGCAACTTAATTCTGTTAATTATGTGTCACGGTGCGCGCGCATCGTAAAATTTCACTCTCATCAATTTTTCATAACGCGCCTAAAGAAGTATAACTTCAATAACATAAAATTTAGTGTTTAGAATGATGTGTGTACGTGATTTGTTTACAATTTATTGAAAATCTACTTTATAACACCCTGATTTAAATGAAAATCTACTTTATAACATCGTTCCTAAAAGTGCGCTTACACGGGCAACTAAAATTGCTCAATTCCAGTCAATACTCGTCCATTATGACGTCACGACTACATCAAGCAATTTACGGCAAGGGCAACAAGCATAAATACTACGCAATACAATATTGAGCGATATGGCGCAACTTCATCAACTAGGCAATACTGTCATACACGAGCATTTCAGTTTTCGCTCGCTATGGACGACATTGTTCTTGCTGCGGCGGCTTGTAGCGCTTTTATCATTAATCAAAAACAAAAAAGAAAGAAAAGGAATAGGAGTATCTGGGTGCGATCGTTTTCGGCAAAGAGGACAAAATTTTCATTATGTAAAGAATTAGATGATATATTATTCAAAAACTTTACTAGAATGTCACGAACAGACTTTGAATTACTTTTGAATAAAGTAATTAGAAATTATTATTATTTAGACCTCTCGCTCTCCCCGCGGAAGCAAGACGGCAAGCCGCAAAACAAGCAAGTGCGAATGAGACATATACAAAAATTGCTAGGAATTTCCAAGTCCATTGGATATTTGTCAATTCGTATCTGCGACATTGAGCGATATGAAATATCTGGAGCAATTAGAAGCAATATCGCCGAAATAATTTATTGCAATTTATTAAAATTGCTCCAGATCGGTCCATTCGTGTCGCCGAGCAATTATTGCCCTCGTGTATGCGCACCTTTATGTTTTAGAAAATTTGATTTTATCGGTTTAGCAATACTGTATAGATATTTACAACATTTTCTTGTTCTAGTATTCTATAGTTGAGTCACATAGCTATTCCATTATTATATGGTCACCCCACAAATCCCAAGCCGACAGCTGTCAAAAGTATTGGCGAGGGGTTTAATTATTTGATTCACTGTTTGTACCTTGTGTATATCTCTGTACTTTCTTAAAATTACGAATTGAAGGTATGTTTTAGTTTTGTTTTATATTAGTGACTTATGAAGGTAAGTGGTTTGCTGTATGTACATTATATTCTACATAATAAAAGAAACTCTAGTTACACCCTGCACCTCCAAAGTTGATGATCCGACACTTCACAAAATGGACGTCTACATATGTGACGTGATTATGTAAAATGTTTTATTAATATTAGAGAAGGTACAAGTTAAAACAAATTGGCTGCGATGGAATAATTTTTTAACAGATTGCTTTTTTAGTTATTAAATTTGATAAACTGAATATAATATATATAGCATGTACAGTAGTAACGAAAAGGAAATAACATCCTTTTTTGCTATGGCGCATTTATCTGAGATAAGATTTTTATATTATTTTGCGATGACGAAGATAATTATAAAATATATTATGCTTACAGCATAAATGAAATGCTAAGTTCAATGATCGCTTCAAAACACTAGCACAATGCTAGTATTAGCTGTTACTGTTGACAATATGCATTTGGTCTACGCTCATTCATAGCTATGCGACTCTTATATAAAAACATAATACTGCTCATTTCTAATTTATTTTAAAACTATTATTAATAACTTACATTTTTCAATAAGTGAAGAAGATACACATTTTACTACTTAACTTCTTAGTTAACTGTGTTAGCTTGACATATTTGAGTATATTTATACAAAAATAGTTATTTGTCCACAAATAGTAATTTGAGCACACATGTTTTAAAGATATGTTGGTCTATTTCTTTAAAAGTATGTTGTTTATAATAATACTATTTTCTTAACATAACTTAAGTGCATATTAAACTATTATGGTATTAGAAATTTAGCTTATTTATTTATAATGGTCTTAAGTGAAATTTGCTTGTTGTTTGTCTATGAATGCAATTAGTAAACATTTTTCATTGTGAAGGATTTAAATTGAAATATTTTAAAATTATTCAATCAGTTTATGAAATATAATAAAATGGCCAATTTTCTACAGAAGTGAGCATTTCAAGAAATGTATATGTGCATTATTGCATGACATTTAATGTTATAATAGCATTCTAGTACCAAAAACATAGATTTTTAAACTGTTATGAATTTTGAACCCAGTCATGTATTTTTTATCCATTGAAAAGGTAAATATTGGATTGTATGGACACATTCACCATACAGGATGGTGCCCACCATATAAAACTTGTATTAACTGTGCAGATTCACATATACATTCCTTTTTATATGAATTTATTATAATATTCTTCATTTGACATAATCAAAAATAAATAATTGTATGTGACCAAATAAGTTAATAAAGTTGATGTTTATTCTCCTTCAGAAGTATAAGACTCATTATATCGTTTTATCAGCTATTGTAATGTTATATATATTAATAACTTTATTAAATTTAGGATAAGAATTTTGGCAAGCTTTGTTTTATTTTCTCTTCTATAAAATCTTTAATAACATTTTTTTTTAAGATTACCTCACCCTGAAAAAAGGGGGCTATGACAAACAACATCAGTGGATAAGCAAATTTTTACAATTTGTTGCAAACACAACAAGAAAAGTAACTAAAATGCAAACTATAAAGTGTGTTGTGGTTGGAGATGGAGCAGTGGGAAAGACTTGCCTGCTTATCAGCTACACAACAAATAAATTCCCATCAGAATATGTGCCAACAGTATTTGATAATTATGCAGTCACTGTCATGATTGGAGGAGAGCCATACACCCTTGGGCTCTTTGATACTGCAGGTGAGTAAATATGACTCATCTCTTAATATTTGAATAGCTATAGTCCTTCAGGCATAAACTGACCAACAATATTCAAATCTAAGTCAAAAATATTACATGGGCAGTATATAAATGTAATATGTTATGTGATAGTTGGTAAAAATAATGTCTGTTATTTTTCAGGACAGGAAGATTACGATAGGCTTAGACCTCTGAGTTACCCACAAACAGATGTTTTCCTTGTTTGCTTCAGTGTAGTGAGTCCAAGTTCTTTTGAAAATGTTAAAGAAAAGGTAACAAATATTTACCTTATCATCTTATGTCTTTATTTCATATTATTAATTTATAGACTTAGCAGTTATATTATATAAAAAAAATTTTTTAGTGGGTACCTGAAATAACTCATCATCAGCAAAAGACACCATTCCTTTTGGTAGGGACACAGATAGATTTACGAGATGATCCAGGAACCATGGAAAAATTGGCGAAAATCAAACAAAAGCCAGTGTCACTAGAACAAGGAGAGAAACTTGCAAAGGAACTAAAGGCAGTGAAATATGTAGAATGCTCAGCTTTGACACAGGTAATCAGATACTTTTAACAGCTCTTGAAATATAATATTATTCTGAAGTAAACAACACTAATGGATCTATTTTGTGCCATATTCCATTTTAGTGAGATTTAGATGCTATACTTAATTGACTATAAATCATTCCAATTAATGTCTTATTGTAGTTTAGCTATGATAAATATACACCTAACTATGAAGGTATATGTGGAGGTATTCATTTATTTAAATTTCTACTCCTGAAGTTTAGCATTTAGTATATTGACTAAAGTACACCTTCTTTTCATTCCAGAAAGGATTGAAGAATGTGTTTGATGAAGCGATTCTGGCTGCATTAGAGCCTCCAGAGCCTGTAAAGAGAAGGAAATGTGTCATGCTGTAAGATTAACCAGCTTTCACTGGTCTCATACGCTTTTTCTGATTCAGTGTGCGAGGCTTTTTTATAACTGTAATATTTGACTTATTTTAAAAGCCCAAAACAAATATAAAATAATAGAAATACATGTTTAAATAGGACACATGTGTCAATATTACAGTATATGGGGTAGCAAATAATCTTGAGATCGGCTGCCATACAATTTAAAAGTTTTCCAATTTGACAATTTTATACCACTTACTTGTCATTGCTATTATATAAACTAGTTTTAAGCAATTGTATTAGAACCATTTTGACTTTTCCACCATATAATTTAATGGTTCAAATTTTAAGGTATTTTAAAATAATTATTTATACATATTTGTATCACATTATAAGACTTAAGTTACTATTTTTATTACTTGACATTTTATGAGAGGCTGAGTATTCTATATAGTATAATTTAACAATTTTTGATAGACAAAACTAAAGAAAATTATTGGTCTCTATGAAAAATATGTTATTTTAACTATATTGTGTATATTGAATTAACATATTATCTATTATATCATATGATTTCTATACTTCTGTAATATTAACATATTTATTTCAGTATCTCATGATATAAAAATTCAACCATTATAATGACCATTGCTTTAAAATTCACAATTTATTTATATGAAATAATTTTAACTATTAAATAGTAATGATTTTTAATAATGATGGATTGGAAATAAATGAACTTCTCAGTCTCTCTAGTAATAATTTGATACATTTATTTATGACATTGATTGAATTTTGATTTAATTATAAAGAAGTGGTTACATACAACTTATCTTATTACCTTGATAAGTTTTGGGTATAATACATGTAACTAAGGAGCATTTTTTTACTACTTGCTAACTGCTTAGAATATGATATCTGTTAAATTTTGTAGGGACAGGTTCAAGAAAATTTATTTTCTTTGTGATGAAGGGAATTAAAGTTTTTATTGCGCTATTAAATCAATTACTCTTGATATGGGCTTAGGTATAGATAATAACTAAGGAAAAAATAACTGTTACTATAATAGCAGTCAAATAGACTGAAGTCAATAATTTCATTCCATGTTACTATTTTATTTATTATTATTGATACATGTAAGATTTTGAAATACCTATACATTTTGATAATTATACTGTTCACAATTTTTGTATTTAGGTTTATCACTGCCATGTACTCCAAACGCACATGTCTTTTAAGTGCCAAATCTCTAGTTTTATAGTTCTGAAGCTAGCCCCACCAGTCTTTTTTTAAATTATCTAAGCCTAATTCATTATTTTGTAAAGCGCAGACTAACACAAGACCAAAGTACCACAAACCTACCTAACCCAACCTACCTGTGGCGGTACCGCCTAATACTTAAGTTGAAATAATTAGAAACAGCTAGGTATGTCTGTGTGTCAGACAAGTTTATGACACCTAATAACTAGATGGCATTTGACGACGTTCGCAATTTTCAAATATCATATTACGTAGCAGTATATTATTATAGTATGGTTAAGGTAAGCATAAAAGAATGATATAGCATCACATTAATATTTTTATTACACACATAAATCCAGCTGTACCTAAATTTTTTATTTTACCATTTATTTTATTTTAAAGATATCTTAGAAGCGTCTTATAAAACATAATAATGAAAAGTTAGCCTCGCGAATAAATGTTTGATTAGGGCTTGAATGCCTGTCTATATATATGACTTGCATACAATGCATGAAAATATTTTTTTCTTTTCTTTGTTGTATAATCTGTCTGTTCTTAATAATGACTAATTCAATTTAAAAAAATTGCAGTAAGTATAATAAGAATGATAAAGTTTTAATTTGAAACTGTATTTAATTAAATAATTTTTTTATGATAGACTGTCCATTTAGTCTTGTGAATTCATAAAAAAAAATTAAAAACAAACATACATTTTAAAATATGGGAACATAATTTTATTCAGTTATTATATTTTAATGTGAGAATTTGACATTTTATTCGATTTTTAACTCGTAATATATTATTTTCCTTTGTGTCAGTAACTTAAGGATTAAGTGTATATTATTGTATTAAAATATATTAAATACAATATGTCTTTTATTTACATTATTTTATCAAGAGAGTTTAGAAAAAAAATCAGGAGGTTTTAATTGCTCAAATAATTCCTTTACTGATAACTAAGTCATCTTCTAAATAGAAATGGGGAAGAATAATATCTCTTCAGTATTTAGTCAGAATAAATATTTTAAAGAGAACTAATTTTTTCAAAACAATCTCGGCTAACCAGATGTGATTGGCAGAGATGTTTAGATATTAATTAAGTCCATGCTTTAACATGTACCTTAGTTTGTTTTTAAAATGTTAGTATCGTAGCAACTGAGTTATGTTTTACATACTGAGAAATTATTTTTATTTTATTAGTTTCAAGTCTGCTTTTCTGTATATAATTTCTTAAATCTTATGTCAATAATTAGTAAATTTAAAACATATATATATTTATCAGTAGGTTATATGGTTAGGTGTTATATACGTGGCGTAATACGTATGAGAAGTCATTTATAACTTTAAGGGTGTATGTCAAAATCTATGGAATATTGTTTAGATTGAAAATAGTTTTTTTTAGAATAGGTATATAAAAATTGGCTACATAAATCATGGGTGATTAATCTGAATTAATCAAATGACAAAGGATTTTATGCATTTGCCATTTAATAGCTGGACCTACGGTATTATTAAATTAATCTGTATCCACAAATTGCAATCGTTTAATTCTTGGGACAGCCGAGAGCGGGGGAGGCGAAAAGATGTCTGCTTTGCTGGCTACCGCCTTTGCCGCCGCCCTACACCACATTGCCGAGAGAGAGTATCTTTGTGGTAATAAGATAGTCATAGCAATACCTTTGTCGAAAGTAGGGAAAGTGATAGGTCGAGAAGTATTTATAATTCTATATTTAGTAAAGGTACATTAAGGCTAAAATAAAATTTCAGTTTCCGACAACACAGATTGCAAAACTGGCAAAAATGATTAATGATATTACTATTGATAAAAAAAATGCATCATAAAATAGATATAAATAGACTGCTGCTCAGGCCAGATCAAGTACTTAAAATCCATTTATATATGTGACTAGTGAAGGAAAAAAAAGTTATGGATAAGACAAAATCAAAATTTGAATAAACAAAAGAAGATCCAGCAGTTGCTTGTGTGGTGTAAGTGTAACTATGAAAAAAACTTAACTTGTTATGACTTTTATTATGAATCATTGCTTGAAACATCCAAACAACCAACCACTGATAAAATGGCTGATTGTTATAATGTTTAAAATGTATATTTAACATGGTAGAAGTGGCTATCAAAGAGCCAGAAGACTGATCAAAACAATATATTTTTCTGTTGTCAAGATGCAAGTTTGTTACTTTTTTGTTGTTAAGTATTGGTTTAGCTTGTTACTTTGATTTTACATAATTTCATAGATATTCAAGTTTTCTAACTCTTATAGTTTTAAGTTAATTAATGAACTCATTAACTTAAACATGATCTGTAACTATTTTATATTTATCATCAGATGCTTTTTTAGTCCATATGGAGTAAATATTAATTAAATTATATTTGTTAGTTTTAGAGTAGTTAGGAATTAATAAATGTAACAAATAATTTTATTTTAAATTTTATTTAGTAAAGTTAATTACAAATATATCTGAGTGAGTGATGTTGATACTGTTTCACATAGGATAACACCAATATCACCCAGGAAAAAACAAAATTACAATATATTATGTATTAAATTTCAATAAATTAAAATGAAAAGATTTTATTCAAAATTATGTACTAAATTTTCACGTATAATTTCTGCATGATATTTAACTAAACCTTAAATGGTCAGGATCAGTGTCAGCACTCAGCAGTGAAATCTAAAAATTTCTTGTTTGGGATTTTGTTTCTAATCTCTCTAGCATTATAAAAAAATGTTGTATATTAATATTCATCTCGCCGCTGGCGCTTAACTATTTCTACCTTAGTCCTTAAAACTTCATTCTACCAAAAACTATGAACAAAATAAATATTGCATTTTCTTAATTTTGATATAATATGACAACGCTATGTAATTTGTAATCATAATTTGATAAAAACATAAATTAATTTATAGTCTGTTTAAAAAATATGACCAATCAACATTTTAAGCATTAAACTTTTTTTTTATATGGCTCGCACGGTTTGTTCATTGTGGCCCAGGGTCAAAAACAGGGAAACGGGTAAAAACATAAAATTATCGGCTGGAAATGGAATAGAATGGAATAGAAAATAATTAAACTATAAAATAAAAGATCAATTCTTATAAATCTACATACAAAAGGAGTGTAAGAAAACATATTTACATATATTTACGTTCATATTGTCTAAATTTTTATATTATTACTTAAGATAAGAGCTGCTAAAAGTTTATAATATACATGTGGGTTGTAAAGTCGAAAGTAAACTTGATATGGATGAAGGGAAATGAGACCTTCGAGAAGAGCCGACCGGTCGCGCCGAGGACAAACAAACATTATGTGATTTAAATCACCTACATCATATCCGCATTAAATTTTGACGTAAAAATATTTACATTAGGACAAGAAAAATAAATAGACACTATACACATTTTATTTACAATAGCAGCAGCAATGACTGATAAATTATCTCCGAATGAGGGAAGTGGAAATAAGGAATAGGGGAGATCATTTTTAATGACTATGGCAACACCACCATAGCCGTCAGGGGGTCTAGCCAAGATGGCTTAACAGTAGTGTATGTAGAAAGTCGAAAACTAAATTTGTATGAAAATGACAGCTCGTGTCGACAGTCGGTAGCCTAGGCCCTAAAGGCGTGAGTCGGGATACAATAAGCGACGCCATGACAGTGCTACGAAAAAACACAAACGCTTACGCTATTCGGTAGCCAACGGCCAATTAATGTTTCGGCAGTGTAGAAAAAACGGCGTTTCTTCGCCATGTTTTAGCGT